CCGCCGCCCAATATTCCTTCCTCTCTCCCCTATCCCTGCTCGTCTTGCCCTTCTTCTTCTTCCTCCTCGTCCTCCCTCCTCGCCTCCCCCTTCTCTGGCACCTGGGACCCCATAGAAACTCACAATCCCCGAAGATATCCGAACATGAACCTTGCCCGAACCCAACACGACACTCATGTCAATTGAACATATATGTTCCCATCGCGAACGTGTCCAAAATTGGCGCTGTCGAGACAGGAGGCAAACCCAGAATCACGTGGGACCAACCTGCAACATGCGAGTCAACGTGCACACATCTGGGCCTGCTCCACCAATCAAGCCCTGGCCATACATACAGCATGGCAGTGCAACTCATAGCACCGTCTGGCGTATCATGGCATCGCAACATTGTGTAGCATTGAACAACGTAGGATACCATCTCACTGCATGTCATTGCATCCCAAGGTGCAATATTGAATGACAACGCATGGCTTAACACACTACAGCATACAAAGGCAGCGCGTGGTAGATCGAACCGTAGCAGAACGCAGACAAGGAAACGAAGAGGAACGAGCGCCCAGGTCACGAAGACCCAGCCTGACGACTGAGGCCAGACAATATGGGAGGCCTGGAAATGGGCACCAACACCAAGACAGAGGGCTGCCTCCACAGGGGGGAGGTGATCCTAGATTTCGGTGTTGGTGGTAATATTTCGGCCACCTTGGAAGCCAGAAGATCACCACCATCACCGAGATCGGGATCGCCTTCCCTCGGTGGAGGCACACCGCCGATCTTGGTGTTGGTGTCAATCTCTAGGACTCCGACAGTACCCAGCTCCGCACAGCAACAGCACGAGTTCTCAGGCACGCCTCTGCGCGCGGAACCCTCTTGCACACCTTCTGCCCCTCCACTCACCACCGATCCAGAGAGGACCGTCCCCGCTCCTCCCGTAGACAGCTGGACAACGAACTTGGGAAACCGACTCCGCCCTGTGGTCCGGTGGAGTGGCGCCGGCTTCCCGGATTTGGCTCGAAAGCGCCAGGGCGCGGGGTGTTGGGCAGCGAGCAAGGGGGGGGGCGGGGGCGAGGGGGGCGACCTTCAGAACCCACGTGCCCGACGCTCTGGAAGGGACTGGAGGTCTTCGCAACACAACATTCAGGTCGGGCGCGTCCCCCTACATGCGGGCTTTGGGCGAAAATTGAAAAATAGTGCAAGCAATACTCTGAAAGTATTAAAAATGGTACAAACATCGTCCCCGGACTATTCTGGACTATTTTTGAATATTCCTCCTGCAGAGGGGCACGCCCGACTTAACAGAACATCCTTGCCTTCACCCCCAGTTGCGGGAGCCGCCGAAAGTCCCAGTCCTCGGCTATGCGCAAGGAGTGGCCCTGGGCAAGAGCGGCTTTTGGCGTGCGGCTTGCCAACCGCTTGGTCCGGGGGCCCGAAACCTGGCGAACACGCCCTGTGTGAGATCAATCCGACGCCCGGATCTGAATGGCCCGGGGGGTGACCGATCTGTGTAAAACGACGCGAAGATCGGGACAAAATCGGATCGGGATAACTCGAAATCTCTGAGAATCGGCGGGCTTGGAGGATGTATTGGGCGCCGCGGCCGCTCCAGAGCGTTCCGGAACGCTCTGAGAGCGCTCCGGAACGCTCTGGAGCGATTTATCCCGATCCTAGCCCTGTTTTACTGTGACCCTCCTCCTCCCCAGAGACACCGCCCGAGGTCGTGACTATGTCGGCACGGGCCCCCCCCCCAACTCCCGACCCTGCCCCTGGGGCCAGCCTCCGCGACCCTGACGCCAAGCCTGGCGCCCCGACTCCAAACATGGCGCGACGAGCCCCCGCCCTGGAGCTCTTCTTCTTCTGCTTCTTCTTCTTCCTCCTTCTCCTCCTCCTCTTTTCTTCCAGGGCGACGCTGGCGCTCCTCCTCCTCCTCCTCCTCCTTGTCCTCCTCCTCCTCCTCCTCCTCCTCCTCCTCCTTGTCCTCCTCCTCCTCCTCCTTCTCCTCCTCGCCATCGCTCGGATGTCCATTCCCTGTGTGTTTTTTCGGTTTCGTGCGTGGTTTTTTCGCCAAATGATCAAGGATGCTCCTCGATGGCCCTCGCCGAAGGAAAACATGCACACGCCCGAGCGATGCCAAGCCTCCTCCTCCTCCTCCTCCTCCTCCTCCTCCTCCTCCTCCTCCGTCCTCCCCCTCCGTCCTCTTTCTTCCGGGGCGACGCTGGCGCTCCGCGCTCCTGGAGCTCTTCCGCCCCCGGGGCCTCGCCCGCGCCCGCCCCGCCGGCACCCGCCGCCTCGCCGGCGTCCGCCGCCTCGCACGCGCCCGCTGAGGTCGGCGGCTGCTGCTGCTGCTCCTCCTACCCCCCTCCTACCCCCCCTCCTTACCCCCCCCCTCCGTACCCCCCTCTCCTTATCCCCCCTCCCCTCCCTCCTCCCCCCCCCTCCTTCCCCCCCCCCTCCTTACTCCCCCCCTCCTTATTCCCCTCCTTACCCCCCCACAGGCGCATCTCGGAAGGCACACTAATATTACCCTAGCGACGTACCTAACCCTTGCGCACCAAGATTGCTACCACGGCGGCGATGACGTAACATGGGCGCCTGTGATTCTGCGAGTAGCAATCGGAAGGCTCGCAGGCCCCCGATCAAGATAGAAGGGCGTCGTAGTGGTTACTAACGCAGCCCCCCCAAGGACGGCGAGGTCTCGCTCAGGTCCCCGCGGTGCCTCACTCCGCTGATCCCAACAGCAGCCCTCGAAAGTGGCGACCGTGTCGCAGATCGCAGCCCCCCAAGGACGGCGAGGTCTACCTCCGATCCCCGCGGTGCCTCACTCCGCTGGACCCACCAGCAGCCCTCGAAAAAGGCGACCGTGTCGCTGATCGCAGCCCCCCAGGGACGGCGAGCTCTCGCTCAGGTCCCCGCGGTGCCTCAGTCCGCAGGAACCACCAGCAGCCCTCGAAAGTGGCGACCTTGTCGCAGATCGCAGCCCCCCAGGGACGGCGAGGTCTCGCTCAGATCCCCGCGGTGCCTCAGTCCGCTGGACCCACCAGCAGCCCTCGAAAGTGGCGACCGTGTCGCAGATCGCAGCCCCCGAGGGACGGCGAGGTCAGGCTCAGATCCCCGCGGTGCCTTAGTTTGCAGGACCCAACAGCAGCCCTCGAAAGTGGCGACCGTGTCGCTGATCGCAACCCCCCAGGGACGGCGAGGTCTACCTCAGATCCCCGCGGTGCCTGTCCGCAGGGCCCACCAGCAGCCCTCGAAAGTGGCGACCGTGTCGCTGATCGCAGCCCCCCAGGGACGGCGAACTCTCGCTCAGATCCCCGCGGTGCCTCACTCCGCTGGACCCAACAGCAGCCCTCGAACACGGCGACAGTGTCGCAGACCGCAGCCCCCCAGGCACGGCGAGGTCTACCTCAGATCCCCGCGGTGCCTCACTCCGCTGGACCCACCAGCAGCCCTCGAACGTGGCGACCGATCGCAGCCCCCCAGGGACGGCGAGGTCTACCTCGATCCCGCGGTGCCTCACTCCGCTGGACCCCCAGCAACCCTCGAAAGTGGCGACCCCAGATCGCAGCCCCCAAGGACGGCGAGGTCTACCTCCGATCCCCGCGGTGCCTCACTCCGCTGGACCCACCAGCAGCCCTCGAAAATGGCGACCATGTCGCTGATCGCAGCCCCCAGGGACGGCGAGGTCTACCTCAGATCCCCGCGGTGCCTCAGTCCGCAGGACCCACCAGCAACCTTCGAAAGTGGCGAACGTGTCGCAGATCGCAGCCCCCCAGGGACGGCGAGGTCTACCCCAGATCCCCGCGGTGCCTCAGTCCGCAGGATCCACCAGCAGCCCTCGAAAGTGGCGACAGTGTCGCAGATCGCAGCCCCCCAGGGACGGCGAGGTCTACCTCAGATCCCCGCGGTGCCTCACTCCGCTGGACCCAACAACAGCCCTCGAAAGTGGCGACCGTGTCGCAGATCGCAGCCCCCCAGGCACGGCGAGGTCTACCTCAGATCCCCGCGGTGCCTCACTCCGCTGGACCCACCAGATCGCAGCCCCCCAGGGACGGCGAGCTCTCGCTCAGATCCCCGCGGTGCCTCAGTCCGCTGGACCCACCAGCAGCCCTCGAAAGTGGCGACCGTGTCGCAGATCGCAGCCCCCCAGGGACGGCGAGGTCTACCTCCGATCCCCGCTGTGCTTCACTCCGCAGGACCCAACAGCAGCCTTCGAAAGTGGACACAGTGTCGCAGATCGCAGCCCCCCAGGGACCGCGAGCTCTCGCTCAGGTCCCCGCGGTGCCTCAGGCCGCTGGACCCACCAGCAGGCCTCGAAAGTGGCGACCGTGTCGCAGATCGCAGCCCCCCAGGGATGGCGAGGTCCGCACAAAGCAAGAGGAGACAAGAGGGGATCGGGAGACGGGAGGCGGGAGGAGAATTGGAGACCGCAGTGCTTTATTCAAAACGAATACCCAACCAAGGAGGGTTGGGCATTAGTCAAACGTGATCAAAAATACAGTAGGGGCTCGGCCTCTGCCTCCTTCTCCTCCTCTTGCTTCTCCTCCACATCCTTCTCCCCCCCTCGTCCTCCCTCGTCCACCTCCTCCGCCCTTCCTCCACCTCCCACTCATCTTCCTCCCCCTGCCCCCCCCCTCGTTTTCATCTTCGTCGTTCTCAGGGTCGGCGGCACCGGCCGTAAAAGGCCTTCGCAATAGTCAAAGGTGTTCAAAAATACAGTAGGGGTTTGGCCACAAGAAACCTTCCACAGGAAACCCAACCCTGAGACCCCAGGACGTCCACCGATTCCTGACATGGGAACGTCGCGCCTTCCATCGCAAAACCAACGAGACCCAAGTAGCCCAGGGCACCCTGGAGGCAAGCAGCGTGTCTCTTGGCACGGGCCTCCACTGTAGTGGAAGAATCGTCTCCAAAGCATCTCTTTACTATAGGAACCGAACTTTATACACCGATGCATTTTCTGGTCCCGCACTGAGATTCGAAACGGATTCTGGTGTATACTGCATCCTGGTGCATACACTTTTCGTTGTTTCCACGGGAAAACGGGGAAACAACACACCACCACACCACCCCGACGTCGTCCCCGACCCTCAAAAAAAGTCCTGGGATTGAAACGCCACCCCGCCACTGGTCATGTATTATGTTCCAGCTCCCGATCTCTTCCTCCCGTGGAGGGACACGCCCGACTTACGCGTCCGCCTCGCCCGCGCCGCCGCCGCCCCACGCGCGCAGCGCGCTGCGGAGCAGCCCGGGCTCCGCGGGGCCCGCGCGGGGCCGCGCCGGGAGGGACTGCAGCACCACCAGCCGCGCGCTGGCCTGCCGCTTGGGGGGGCAGGCGGCGCTCTGGGCCTGCGGGGCCCCTGCGGGGCCCTTGGGGCGCGCGCGTGGGGAACAAAAAGTGGCATTAACCATAAAAGCTCGGAGGTCCGCGCGGATTTCTCGCATCGGCACTGGGGCCCCCCGGCGGCGCCTCCGGCGCCGCCCCTGGCGCGCTGTCGTTGTTGTTGTTGTTGTTGCTGCTGCTGCTGTTGTTGTTGTTGTTGTTGCTTTTGTTGTTGTTGTTGTGGTTGTTGCTGTTGTTGAACATTATTTATTCTAAAGAATAATTATTGTTGGGCCCCCTGGTGCGCGCCCCCCCTGCGCCGCCTAGGCCGCAGCTGCATTTTCATCATTTTCGTGAGGAAGCCTCAGAAAAGAAGGTGTGTACAGGATCCGGTTGTTTTGTTGTAATCCGCTTTCCCTTGCAAAAAACAATAGAAAATGACATTTCTTGTTCTAATATAATCAAATTTCAAGAATCCCTTGCAAAAAATAAGGTAAAGTGGACATTCGCGCGCGCAAGACGAAATCCTTCCAAAACCTTAGTGTTCGCAGCGATTTTAACATAAAAACATCAAAAAACCAATGGTTTTTCAACAAAAAATTGTCAAAATCTCATCCCGCGCGCTCTTGCGGATTCGTAGGAAACCCAACACTTTTTAAACATTTCTGTCAAACGGGCTTTTGCGAGCAACTTTTTCGAACTTCTGCGACAACGGTTGCGCACCTGCCAGGGCCATCATCCCTGTCAAATAATACCATGCGGGACACATTCGTTTTTTCTTCGCGCGCGCACGCCGTCGTCGTCGGCCGCGGGGCCCTGAATAGTAGCCACGGTCGTCCGCATGCCACGAAGTGAAGTGTCCGAACGTCATAGGGCGGGAAGCTGGGTGTGGGTGGTGGCGAAGAGTCGTTTGGAAATTTGGTAGAGCTTGAACCGGCCCCCCCACAAAGTGGGGGTATTGCCCGCCTCCTATGAAAACCCTGGCACTGGTGAGAACGGAGTGTCCCCAGTCTTAAATGATTGTTGTTGTTGTTGTTGTTGTGGTTGTGGTTGTGGTTGTGGTTGTGGTTGTGGTTGTTGTTGTGGTTGTTGTTGTTGTTGTTCTTGTTGTTGTTGTTGTTGTTGTGGTTGTTGTTGTGGTTGTGGTTGTGGTTGTGGTGGTGGTTGTTGTTGTTGCTGCTGCTGCTGCTGCTGTTGTTGGGGGGTTCTGCGCCGATCCGAAAAATCCGCGCGGACCTCAGAGTTTTTATGTTTATGCCACTTTTTGTTCCCCCTAGTGCGGCCCTTGGGGGAGCCCGTGGGAGCCTGTGTCGGCGGTGCGCACAAAGGGGGGTGGGGGGAAGGGGGGAGGGCTTCTTAGACGGAGGCGGCTTCTTAGAAGGCGCCGGCCCGACATCTATAGACAAGGGCCGCGCCTTTTAAGAAGCAGGGGCGCTTCTAAGAAGTCCCCCCCCCCTCCTCCCACCCCCCTCTGCGCGTGGCTGACTGAGGGAGCCCGTGGGGCCGGTGGGGCCCGTGGGGCCAAAGAGGCCTCTGGAATCAGATCGGGCATGTCCTCCTACGGGCGGATTTTGGAAGAAACAGCAGAAAATGCAGTCAAACACAAACTCTGAACCAGAAACATCAAAAGAGCACGAGACGTCGTCCCCAGACTATGCTTCTACCATTCTCGAATGGTCCTCCTGAAGAGGGACATGCCCGACTTAACTTTGGAACCTGTGGCGGCCTGTGGGACCTGTGGGTCATCGCAGGGCGACGCCGCCGCCGTCAACCGCGGCCGCCCACTGCGGCGGCGGCCGCCGCCGCCGCCGGACCGCAGCGGCGCGTCGACGACACGGTGGCGGCGGCGCGGGGCGGCGACGGCTGGCATCTTCCGTTGAGCTTTCGTGTGTGGTCGGGGGTCTCCGAAAACTTGTGGGGGATTTCAGGTATTGTCCGAGGTCTACGGAGGTCTTTGGGGGGCTGCCCCAGATTTCTGCGAGAAGCTCTGAAGAGTGACATGAGCTCGGGGGGCGAGAGGGGAGGATAGGGGGAAGGTGGGACGTGCACGGGCAGGCCCAGACCTTCAGCGGCCTGAAAAGCACACGCAGGGGCCCAGTGCGGGCCCCACTCACACACAAAACCTCTGGCCCCAAGACCAATTCGGGGCATGACGGGCCACTTGGTCACGAATACCTCGGGCATCTCTGAGAGCCGCCAGGTCCAGACAGCGCGGCCACTCTGGAGCGCCCTGGACCGCTCTGCGGACCTCTGGAACGGAGCATTCGGATCCACAGGCCCCTCGGCCTGGAGCGGGGGCCAGGGCGCGTCCGTCTTGAAGGCCAACCCGTACCTGAACGGCCACACATGCTTCGGGGTCGCCGCCTGCAGGAACGGCGACTCCAGCAGCTGGTCCAACGCCTCGCAAGGGGGAACGTTCGGAAAAGAACTGGCCCAGAGGGGAAGCGTCGACCTGGAATCGGCGATGCATCGCTGGCGGATCGGCGGTAGACCCCTGGTAGCGAATCCGCACGGTCCTGAGCGGGAGTGGGCTATCGGGCCTCTCTCGGCGATCAATGGGCGATTGGGGGGTCGATGTGTGGGTGTCCCCCTGGGCCTATCCCTCCCTAACGGCGCCCCTTATCCGAGTGGTTTTCGGGCCGCAACTCAGCACACTGGCGGCCGCTCGGGACGATCCAGACATCCCCTGCACGCCCTTGACAAAGCGCGGCTGCTGGACTGCTCGATAACTTCCGAACGCTTCTGATCTAGAATTAGGTCGGGCAAGTCCTCCTACGTGCGGATTTTGGACTAAAAGTTTTACGTAGTCCCAGAAAAATCACACACACACACATTCGAAAATGGTAAAAAATCGTCCCCAGCCGATCGTGCGGACTACTTTTGAATCTTCCTCCTGTAGAGGGACGTTCCAACTCAAATCTGGAACGTCCCCCCTCGCCGTGGCCCCGTCTCCCCCCCCCTCGAACGTTGCCCCCCCCCCCCGGCCTCGGCGGAGCGCGCGGCGCTCTTGCCCGCGGCGCGCGCCTCCTGGCAGGGACCGACCGTCCCAGACACCCTAGCATGCGCTAAAACAAAAACCACATTCGTATAACATTTGAACAGGGGCCGACCGCCCCGGCATTTCTACAGCCCTACCACGAGATGTTCTCAGAACCCAGAAATGTTCCAATAACAAAAACAGTGCTGTTAGAACATAAACCCGATGTATTGAAACAAGACAGACTCCGCCAGAAATGTTCTAAGAACATTTCGTGAAAACCCCAAACGGTTCTTACAACATTGTTTGGTAGAGCTATAGACGAGCCAAGACGCTTCGCCACTGCTTGAAACATACACCCGATGTGTTTAAACAAAACAACATCGGCCAGACATGTTCTAAGGACATTCCGTGTAGACCACACTAAAAAGGTTCTTAGAACAGTTTTGGTGGACCCATGGGAAAGCAAGGACACTTCGCCACTGCTTGATCCTGGGCCGTGGAGCCGGGGAGCACCACGACGAAGGCGAGCTCGGTGCCAGCCGCTTGCGCCCTAGCCAGCGCGGCCAGCACCGCGTCCACCATCTGCACCACGACGCTCGGCACGAAAGGCGGGTTGAGCTCCACGAGCCCGCCGAGGGCGGCCAGCTCGCAGGCGGGGTCCAGGAAGGAGCCCAGCGAGCCGAAGAGGACGTCGATGTCCCAGAGGAGTTAGGTCGGGCATGTCCTCGTCCAGGCGGGTTTGGGGAGAACATCAAAACGAGTCAAAACATACTAGACACTTGTCAATTGAGCACGGAACATCGTCCCCAGACAGACTATCTTTTTTACCGTTCTCTAACGCTCCTCCTGTAGAGGGACGTGCCCGACTTAACAGAAGAGGGAACAGTACGCCCAGGGGCCGCCGCGACAGAGCAGCGGCGAGGCGAATCCCTCCACGCGGGGGCCGCCGGCCGCCGCGGCCGCGACCGCGTCGAAGACGTGGGCGGGCATCGCCGAGTGGAAGCCGCCGCCCTCGTTGCGGCCGGGGCCGCAGAGCGCGTCGTAGCGGCACAGGACGCAGAACAGCAGGTCCCAGATGTCGGCGGCGAGCGGGGGGGGGTGCACGTGAGAGGGAGAGGGCCTCCTCTCGGAGGCGGCGGGGCTTCTCTCAGAAGCCCTCTGGCCTACCGAGAGGCTTTTTACATCTTCGGGGAAGGCCCGACCCCTTCTCATTCCCCCCTCGCTCGCCGCCGGAGATGGCGTTGGGGCTCTCCAAGAACGCCTGGAGCTCCCTTGGCATGCCCTCCGCTTCGCCAGCGCCGTGCGCAGCCAGCGTGGCGCCGCGGCGAGCGCGGCTGGCGCTCTGGCGGAACGCCTTCGCGAGGCGGTCGAGGCCGCCCTCGCTGATGATCCGCCACCGTGCCGCTGGGCGCGGAGTGGGCGTGCCCTCGAGTCCTTTGCCTAATCCTCTAAGCCTCAATCCTCACTCCTGTGGTGTCTTCATGGGGCCCGGACCCCAAAATCCGAGGTTCGGCGGGGTTTCCCGCGGGCCCCCTGGGGCTCCTGGACATGTTCTCGCATGATTTTTCAGGGTCAGAAAGGGCCCAAGACGGGCCAAGAAGGCCCCAAGCGGCCTCCTAGACGGCCCGAGAGGACCCCGAGACGCCAAAAGATCGGCCCAAAACGCCCAAGATGGCCTCACAACGGCCCAAGAGGCCTCCACGACGCCTCGAAGCGGCCTCCCAAGAAGGCTCCCCGAGGCCAAAAATCTGCAACCTTTTGGCGGCTCGCGCGCACCTGAGCAAGGTCCGTCGACATGCATCCGTCGGCGGAGCTTGCCACGAAACACATCTTTTGTTTATATGAAACACAACAAAATCAAACCAAGTTTTGGCGTTCTCGGCTTTTTTTGCTTTGTGACGCTCCAAGATCGCCGAAAAGGCCCCCCAAGCCACTCCTAGACGGCCAAAGAGGCCTCCACGAGGGCCCCCAGACTGCCTGAGAGCGCCCAAGACGGCCCAAGAGGGGCCCAAGTCTGCGCCAAAGGGGGTCAACAGAGGGAACGCGGACCGAACATCTGAGCCTTCCGGCCCCAAGAGGCACCCAGGAGGCCCCAAGAGGCCCCCAAGAGGCCCACAAGTGGCCCCGAGAAACCTCCAAACTGCTTCCAAGAGGTCCCGAGAGGCGTTCCGCGAGTTCACAACGGACATGCCGGAAGGTTCATACCCACAACCCAGGCACGGTGGTGGGATGGGCCGAAGGACATTCGATAAAGGCGTCGGCCGCTGGCTCATCGCTGCCCGCATCGGCATCGTGGTCGTCGCTGCTGTCGCCGGCTGCGCAGCCTCCCGTGGCACACTGCGCGGACGCAGCCGCTGCGGACAGGAGGTACGCGCGCCTCCGTGGCTGTCTTAAATCAATGAATAGTTGAAGCAACTACGTAGACGTAGAATTTCGGAACTCCACCCTTTCAATGTTTAAATAACTGTTTCTTCCCTCCATATGGCTGCCCGCAAAACTGTCGCATTGACCGAACCGGCCGGATCGAATCTCGTACGTCGAGGAGGGGAGCCGCCTTCGGTGCGAAACCACTTCAATGCCGCACGCAAGCGTCGGTACGCACCACCGAACTGATCGAATTCAGGACAACCCTGTCTACCGCGAACAAATCCCAGGACCATTATGCGACCAAACGATTGAAAACACATCGGGCACGGGCAACTGACATGAACCCAATGCAACCAAATTACGGGAACAATTCCTAAACGGCATTGCTCGGTATTGTTTGGGTTCGTACGTTTCTGCATCGTTTGGTGTTGGTTGGCAACTCTTGGCGCTGATTAGATTGTTGCGCATGGTTTGCATGTATATGCGCTGCTCTAAAACAATACAGAGCCTCACCCCAAACAAATAATATTACTGATGCGAATATAGATTATGGAAAATGTTAGTACCAACGATGGTGATAACGATTGTAATAGTAATGACATTATGGTGAATCCGACGAGGGCCAATCACCCCGAACAAAAACAAAAGAGACAACAAGGACCAGGATAACCCAGTGAAGCCCGAGGAATGCGAGGAGGGCTGGCCTTCCAAACGCAATCAGGGAACACGGTCAGAACGACTTGGGGGTCCCTGAGGAAACTCGAACGACGCCACTGCAAAACAGCAGGGCCAAGGAACCCCAATGAACGCCTCGTTAAGGAAACCTGGCCGGGGAACCCCTGGACCCCCGTGCGCGACGGGGCGCCGCGCCCGCTAGTTCCTCCACAAGAAATTGAAACCCCCTGAAACGAAACCTAAATCGGAAAACCGGAGGTTGGGAGATGATACCGATATGAGCATGGGATTGATTGAGAAACCCGATTTCCCGATGGGATGTTGGGAAATGAAATCGAAGTGAAACAGAGATCCCCGATCGGCAAATGGGTTTTGATTTCGTGCTCGCGTCGTGCGCATATGTCACTGTGTGATTGACAAATCCGTGGGGGCGCGTGTTAAACAAATAGGTCCCCTGCTCGGACGAATTGCGGGATGGCGCCCGCCAGATTGAAAATCAACGGGGCGGCGCTGGTGATTAGCGTCGGCGCCTGGCCGCCAACGAGAAGGCGACAGACAACACAAAATGGGGGAAAGGAGAGGAAAGAGGGCGGGTAACAAAGGCGACAGAAGCAAAGATCGTGCACCAGGGCGACACCTTTTTGAAATGAAGAAGAACTGCTGTCGGCGCTCGCCCCCGCACTTTCCGTGCTCTTCTGTGGAACCGATGCGTTTCCTTTGCCTTGGCCGCAGGCAGGGGGGCGCCAGCTGCCTCGCGGGCCCGCGAGTAAAGCGGGCTGGACGAAAGGGGGCGTGGCCAAAAGGGTATTTGCCCAGCAGCTCACATTGCTGATTTTCCGAGCGCCTCTGGCGCGGAAAGCGGCCGTGCATCGAGGACTGGCCCCTCGGCGGGGCGACCCAAACCAGCAGCGCGCAGCAGGTTTCGCAACCGCCCCTTTCTTTCCCCAGCTTTTCGTCCGACCCGAACGACGCGGGCAGTCCTCCTCCCCCCCTTCTGTCGTGGTCTCTGTAGTCGTCGGGCGACGACGACGACGACAACGACGACGACGACGACGACTACGATGACGACGACGAGACGAGGACGAGGACGACGCACAGCTGATGGCGACGGCCGGCGGCGACGACGACGACGCAATGCGGCTGCCCTATGGGGGGGGGCTGCTGCGCAGGCCCGCTGTAGTGCTGTAGTCGACGACGACGACGAGGACGACGAAGAGAAACAAAAACGACGACGACGAGGGGGAACAAAACTTCGCCTCGGATGTGTACGACCCCTATGACACTTTCTATACTCAAGGCAATCGTTTTGAGGCTGTCATACGGTGTGCACGATCACCTCGGCGGCGCCAGCGACGACCCCCTGGCACGCGTGATTAAAAGAAGGTTTCGCGCCCCGCGGGGTCTATTCATCAGCCCTGGGAGCGGGGTCTGGTCTTTTGTTAATCACAAGCTGACATTACGGGGCGAAGCTGCGTGGGCACGCAGGAGGAGTGATCCCGTCGTCGCTATAGGGCGAAGTTGAAGCAAAAGTGTCTCTCCCCCCCGATTGGCGGTCGGTGCCCCGCGGATGTCTCGTGGTTGTCCCGATGGTTGTCCCGACGTTTATCCCGATGGTTGTCCCGATTGTTGTCCCGATGGTTGTCCTTGTGGTTCCCGATGGTTGTCCAGATGGTAGTCCCGATAGTTGTTCCGATAATTGTCCCGATGGTGGTTCCGATGGTCGTCGCGATGGTAGAGTGGTTGACAATGTATTTTTCTCCAATCAGTGCTTGCACTGAAGGGGTCCTAGCGGATATTGGAAGAGAAGGCGAATGTTTCGCGCCGATTTTGGTGGCAGGCCGGGTTCCCAGGTTCCTGGTTCCGGGTTCCCGGGTTCTCGGTTCCCCGGCCAATTTCGGTGGGCGGCGAGGTTCCCAGGTTCCCAGGTTCCTGGTCGATCTTCTCATCCATCGGTCTCAGCATCGATCTCATTTCCCACCTCTCTATCGATCTCACCATCGATCTCGCGATCTCACTAGAGATCGTACGAGCGATCTCGCGATCGATCTCCCTATCGATCTCATTGAAACGATTTCACTCTCGGTCTCACGATCGACCTTACAATCGTCAACTATCGATTCCACTATCGATCTCATTATCGATGACACAATCGATCTCAAGATCCATATGACGAATTTTCAAATCATCCACTGATTTGGGTTTTCTCAATTGTAGTTTTCTATGAAAAAATGCAACGAAGCCGTCATTCAATTACATCGAAACGTGTACTGATTGCAAGGGTACTATCTATATAAACATACACATACTGACTTCGATAGATGTAGAGAATCTGAACCCTATGAGTTGACATTCTTAACAGCATCTATACATCTATAGACAAGGTGATCGACACACACATGTATATTTATGTGTATGTATAAGTTGTGTATACACATAAGAAGTTGTATGGATACTGTAGAATGAGGTGGATGTCTAACTATGTGCATATGCGGTGATATCGATGAATCGATAAACCGATGATCGATGGATGGAAACGATTGTCCCGTCGTTGGTTCCAACTCCTCCATCTTCTTATCGGCCTGTGGCCGGTTTGATAGATCATCATTCCTCGTCTGAATCGATGGATGATGCCTAACGGCCTCGACGGCGACGACGACAACGAACTGAGAGGAGGTTTGGGGGAAGATCGAAGTGAAACGGATGCGCCCAACTGGGAACTCGATTTCGGTTTCGGTTTGCGTCGCGCGCGGCTTGCGTGCGGGCGATGCGAAACTGCGCGAGTTCCTGCCGTTTTTTTTGTTGCTGATGTTTTTGTTTGCGAGTTCCTGCCGTAGTAGAGGCCAAGTCAAGCTAAACTGGATCGCCCACCCCCGCGCGGCGGCCGTTGGGTGAATTGTCTCGATGGTCGTCCCGATGCTTGTCCAGGATGGTTGTGCCCATGGTTGTCCCGATGATTGTGCCGATGGTGTCTAGATGGCTGTCCCGATGGTTGTCCCGATGGTGGTGCCAGTGGTTGCCCCGATGGGTCTTCCAGGCCATACTGGCAAACCATGTCCTCTGCGAGGCTGCAGTAGCACAAACATGTGCTCTGCGGGGCAAAGACACGCGCACAAAAAAAAACCAGGCCATTCGAGCACACAGGTGCGCTCTGCGAGTCAATCACAGTGAAACGTGCACTCCGCGAGGCTGTAGTAACAGAAGCAGCGGTCTGCGGGGCAAGCAGTACAGAGAATGCGCCCTGCGGGGCGAACCACTATTCAGAACATGCAACCTCTGAGCTAAAACAACAACGATGCACCCTGCGGGTCTAATCAACGATAACATCCAGTGCAAAACAGTGTAGCAGCAACACGAACTACGACACACCAATGACAACTTCTGCAACAACAGGAACAACATGAGAAACACCACTAGCCACATACGCATTCGTAACACCCTGCACATCGCATGAAACCAATCAACACCTGTACATCTATGCTGATATTTAATGTGTAGGCGAACATGTATATACACAAATCAATACATGTGTATGTTCTGATGTGGGTCCATTCGTGAGTTGAATGGTGCGTCCAATGCACATCAAAAATGATGTCCATCCCCCCACCTCCTTCTCACCCGAAGGGTGGTCTCATTGGTATTTAATCGTCCACTTCCCAGTGAATCGCTTGGGCGCATTAGCGTGGCCCAGGTAAAACCGATCAGGGCTTTGGCACCACAGGCCAAGAGGCTCCCGTCGAGCTAGAGAAACGGCCTGACGGCGCCCTGGCCCCTCGGAAACCGCCTAGCGAGAGCGGCACCAGCATCGGATGCGAGGCCGTCCACCCGAAAGCCTGCGAATCCCCACAACATGTTTGTGTCGAAAGAACCCTGGCGTCGGTTCATGACACCGCGTGGATCCGCTCAATACTGAGCGATCGGAGGCTCTTGGACCACCGGATCGTTCCATATCGGCCAATTCTGCACTACTGACGGCGTTCAGCCTTGAACGCCCGCGGCGAGGCCGCCGCCGCGTCGACACGACGTGAGACGTGAATGGACACCAGAACGCGGGTTAAGAACATGGGCCCCTTCGCCGAAGGCATGGAGAGACCTACGAGGAAGAACGCTCCAAGAGGAGATGGACGAAGAGCCCGACGCGAAGACAATTGTGCTACCCCTCCTTACCTGGGGCAGATCTTCGTCCTCGTGCCAGCCGTACAGGACACGACATGACGAGGAGGAGGAGGAGGAGGAGGAGGAGGCGGAAGTGAGATGAGAGGCGATAGAGGAGGAGGAGGAGGAGGAGGAGGAGGAGGAGGAGGAGGAGGAGGAGGAGGAGGAGGAGGAGGAAGAGGAGAAGGAGGAGGAGGAGGAGGCGGAGAAGGTGGAGCACGAGGAGGAGGAGGACGACGAGGAGGACGGCCTCCGGGCGTCCAGCGTCGCGGTCACCACCAGCGCCTCCCGCGGCGGGCCCGCGCGCAAGGCCGCCACGCCCGACGCCGCCCGGCCGGCCTCCCGCTCCAGCTCCGCGCACGCCGCTGCGGCGGCGGGCAACGCGCTGTCCCCGAGGCCCGCGGGCCGCGACGCCTCCAGGCCCTCCTCCTCCTCCTCCTGCTCCTCCTCCTCCTCCTCCTCCTCATTTCCTCCTATCCTCCTTTTCCTCCTCCTCCTCCTGCTCTCCTCCTCCTCCTCCTGCTCCTCCTCCTCCCCCCTCACTCCTCCTCCTCCCTGCTCCTCCTCCTTCTTCCTTTGCCCCTCCTCCTCCTGCTCCTCCTCCTCCTCCTCCTCCTCCCCCTCCTACTGGATGCTCTCCTCCTTCCTCGTCCTCCTCCTCCTCTTCCTCCTGCTCCTCCTACTGCTGCTCCTCCTCCTACTGCTCCTCCTCCCCTTTCCTCCCTCTGCTCCTCTCCTCCTGCTCCTCCTACTGCTCCTCCTCCTCCTCCTCCTCCTCCTCCTCCTCCTCCTCCTCCTCCTCCTCCTCCTCCCCCTCCCAGGCGGCCCTTCGCGCACAACGCTCCGCGATGCTCGACGTGTGGTGGCCTGCGCGCCTCCTCGCGCCGCCCCCGTCGGAGGGGAAGGTGGCCGCACTGGCCCAGGCCGCGGCGCGCGAGAACTTTGTCCCACGCCGGCGGGTGGCCCGGGAGACGCAAGAGGTGAGGCTCAGGTCGGGCTTGTCCTCCTACTTGGGGACTTTGGGCGACACATTCCAAACAATGGTCCAAAGATACTCCCGAAAATAAAGGTATTCTCCAAATGTACTCCAAAGTAGGCAAACGTCGTGAAACGAATCGTCCGCAGACGATCTGTTGACTGTTCTTGGATCTGCCTCCTGTAGAGGGCCGTGCCCGACTTGAGGTGAGGCTCGGGGAGGGGCCCCTCTCGCCCAGGAGCTCTGACCGGACGCCACTGGTTAGGCGAGCGCGTTCCACTACTCGCAAAGTGACTACTCGCAAATGGCCTGGATCAGCTTGGGGGGATCTACGAGAAATTACATCGAATCTGACATGTGTTTTTCGGGCGTTTGCGAGTAGGCACTTTGCGAGTAGTGGAACGCGCTCGGTGACCAATGGAGAC